AACTAAAATATTTTTTTATTTATTAATTTAAAAAATTATTATTATATTTAAAAAATAAAAAATAGGGTGAACTCACCAAGAAAGAGGAGCACCGGTGCTCCCCTTAAGCCTGATCGGGCCTCCCTAAGGGAGAACCGAATCAAGCTCTTTAGGAGAGAACCGGTGCTCCCTAAATGGGAGCTTTTTATTAATTAATAAAAAATAATAACATTATATAATAATACTTATAAAAATTAATTAAAATTAAAATTGTCTTTTTACGCTTACCATGCCAATAAATTGACAAAATTACTAATGGCTAAACTTATATGTCCAACACAAAATATTTGTTTGAAACGAAGTGTATATTTTGAAAATTAATAAAACTTCGTGTAATTTCAATTAAATTTTAAAAATAAGAGTATTTTACTCTAAATAATAATATGACAAAAATAATATAATATATAAATATTAATTATTAAAATATTTATTTTGAATAAAATGAAAAAATAAATATTATTAAATATTTATATTAATATATAAATATTAATTATTAAAATATTTATTTCCATTTCTTAAAATAAATAAAAAATTTCAATTTTGTTTCAAATTTAGCGTAAAATTGAAATAAAAATAAAATGAAAAAAATAGAAGGTGAAAAAATTTATATTTATTATTAAATATTTAAAAATAGTTAATTTATTTTGTTACTAAAATAATACATTTTAGTAAGGGCAATACATCAAATATAATCCGTAATAAATTAATAGAAATGTCATTAACGGAGTTCAAAAGTGTGCATTTTAATAAACAGAAACAAAAATTGAACATAAGCATTGTAAATCTTTAAATTTTGAATATCAAATTGAATATTTGTCATAATTTAGGGGGTAAATACATAATTTTCCGGTTGTTATTAATCCAAGTTGGAGACACTTGATTGCTCAAGTTGAAAAATAACTGTGTAGTTTTCGATATTATTATAATTTGGGCCACCAGTAGACTGTGACGAAAGGTCCAAAGATTCCACCTTTCCCTCCTAATCCCTCTTTGGTTTTCCCTCCAAATCCTTCCCTTCACTACCAATTGATGCTCCTTCGTTTGGGTTCCTCGCCGTGTTCCCTACAGGCCAGAGCAATGGCCGCCTCCTCGAAAACCATAACAGATTTCTTCCAAGCAAACCCAGGCCCAGCCAAGCGTCAGAGACTCTCCACTCCTTCCGATGATCACCAACCTTTTCCCTCTCTTACCGCCGAGCAAAAATCTCGCATGGAATTTAACAAATGCGTCGCCAAATCAAAACGCAACCTCAAAATCTGTTCCCAGAAGGTGTCGCAGTCCAAGGTTGAAGGATCGGGTTTCGTCAAACTGGAGGAACTCTTGGTGGAGGGCACGTGGCTCGAGGCCCTACCCGGAGAGCTGCAGAAGCCTTACGCTACTAACTTGTGCAAATTTGTTGAGAGAGAGATATCCAGTGGCAGCGTGCCCATTTATCCTCCCCAGCACTTGATTTTCAATGCCCTTAATTCTACTCCATTTAGCAGGGTCAAAGCAGTTATTATTGGACAGGTACGGTTCAAAATCTTTACCAAGTAATTCAATTGATTAGTATAATTTAATTTATACAAATTCAGTGCTGTATTTGTAGTTAAATGGAGACGTGACATGACCATTGATAAAAGCCCGAAACTAGAGCAGAGTTTTATTGATGATTATGAGCATATGAAATTGTTGTTTCAGGACCCTTATCATGGACCTGGTCAAGCGATGGGGCTTTCATTTTCTGTGCCAGAGGGAGTGAAGGTTCCCTCAAGTCTGGTGAATATATTTAAGGAACTTAAGCAAGATCTTGGCTGTTCGATTCCGTCCAATGGAAATCTAGAGAAATGGGCTGTTCAGGTGAATCCTCAACTCAATCTAATATCACAAGCACCAAAATGTGCACCAGTAACTGAACCTACTAATAAAAATAGAGATTTTTTACCATTAGCTTCTTCTCTAATTGTTTTAATAAAAACATGCTGACACTAATTTTTACAATCTTGCAGGGTGTTCTTTTGCTCAACACTGTTCTCACAGGTGATGTTCTTATCCACACTTGAGATTCTGATATATATTTTTTTACGTGATCTTATAATTGGATTTTTATGACTTTGCTCATGGAAATAAGTTGTTGATTAGATTCCTGGAAAGATGATTATGGCAATGGTTTGGTAAAGGCTGGTTTACCGGTAAAGTTATACATGATATGAATTAAAAGGGAACTGTATAGCAAACACATATTGTCATAGCGAGTTCATGAAAGAAGCTTAGCTTAAAACCACCAGGAGAAGTCTGTATATTCCACATTTTCGTTCAGAATTAGACGCCGGTACAATTTTTTCAATGTGTTATCTCTTTTAGGATTTGAAAGGCTGTGGACATTAACATAGGTGCAGTGCTTGTTTAGATAACAAAGTAATTGTCATGTTATACAGTTGTAACCTGTGGAATGCTTTAAGACTTCAGGGCATCACCTCCTTTGGAGATGAAGCTTTATTTTTGGTTATTGTTATCCCTCTTGCTCTAATTTATAGCTTTCCTGATGTTTTTGTTTTCATTCTTGATATTCAGTTAGGAGGCACCAAGCTAATTCTCATGCAAAGAAAGGATGGGAGCAATTTACTGATGCTATTATTGGAACTATCTCACAAAAGAAGGAAGGAGTTATTTTCCTCCTCTGGGGGAACTCAGCTCAAGAGAAATCCAGGTTTTCTACTTTTCAATCGTAGTATTAATGGTTGAACCCTCCCCTCCCTCCCCCCACTGTCTTCTATATTCATGATTGTAGGACTTTTATTTGTTTCCTTCCGAAGTTAAATACTGCTCTTCAACTCATTATTGCCAGAATAAATTCCATTCAATATTTTATCCTCACTTATTTTCTGTGTTATATGTTCTTGCCATTTTAGGCTCTATACAAGTGTCAACTCAACACAACATGTGTGTGGGTGGGGAATATGTGACTGACATGGCAGTGCTGCATGGACTTGGTTTCTTTGAATCTTGTTGCCTCTCACTCAATTTGATGCTCGTCCTAAACCAGTAGATCTTTTTCGAATTGCTCAAGAAAAAATGAGGAAAGAGGGAAAAAATGGAGAAGAAAGGAAAGGAGCAATGCATTGTGTTTGAGAGTTATAGATGAGAGAATGAGGTAGAGAGGAGAAGTGAAAGATAAATGATATAGATGGCAGATCTGACCTATGACTTGGTTGAGTATTTGTGACAGTAAATCTTTATAACTTAATTGTTAGGATATTTAGTTTGCTTTTGGGTTTGGGCTGATAAGGCTACCTACATTTCTGACCCTCTAATGCTTATATTCATCATGCAAAGTCTATCACAGTGAAAATCATTACAAAAATTAAAATCAAAAGAAATTATTAATGAATATCTTCCACTTAATTGTGTGGCATTCCTAAATTTTGGTTGTAAGTGCTAGTTATGAATGATTTCATGAGAAAACTGTAAGATGTGTCCAAGATACCCTACTCCACTTTTGGACTCCTTAGCTGAATTTGTGACTCTGAATTTTGAGTAAGGCACTGTGTCAGCATATTGTACTTGAGTCCATGTAACACATCTTATTATAAGTTTGTAAAGTAGTGGAATTTTAGAAAATCTGCTATTATAATTTGTTTATCTTGTTATCACACTATGTTGGTAAATTTGAGATACTGCACTACAACAATTAGTATAAGGTGCACTGTTTCAATGGGGGAACTAAAGCATTCGCCATGACCACATTGACAACCTGGTTGAGACTTCTCTTAATCTGTCACAGGTTGATTGATCAGACAAAGCATCACATTCTCAAAGCAGCACATCCTTCTGGTTTATCTGCAAATAGAGGCTTCTTTGGTTGCAGGTTAGTATGCTTTTGGGGAGAAACAAGCTTACTTCTTTGTGAGTTACACACTGCTCGTTTTGATATATATAATATTGGTTTTTTGGATTGTGAGATGGGATTGTTTGGTTTTTTGAGATTGTGTTTTGTGGTAACAACAATGGATTGAACTCAGCATCAAATAGTAGGTAAACACAAACAATTGAACAGTGATTATGTGCCCTTTTATGTTTATTTGATTGCTATATACACACTCTTATAGCATTGAGATCTTAATTCTTTGCAGATTGTATAAGATTAGGTGTCTCTTGTAAATGACTATGGTTAAGTCAAGATGTGAATTTATGATGCTATTTTGTCTGATATCTATCACTTTTTTTGTAACATTTAAAACAGGCATTTCTCTCGCACAAACCAGCTGTTGGAGCAAATGGGGATTCCCCCAATAGATTGGCAACTTTGATTTCAAGGGTCATCATTCGCGCCTTCAGTTTGTATGCAAACTAATCGATATTCTTCCACTTGAATTTTGCTAGAAAGGCAAAAGTTATGGGGATTCACTGCACAAATTTTGTTTGCCTATTTACAGAAGACACTTTTTGTGATATGCTTGTCACCGTTCAGTGATCCTCAGCTGGCTTTAGGAGCCAAATTTTGTACATCATGTAGCTAATATTGTCCAATGATATCATGCTTATTGCTGACTCTGTTTTCTATCTGTTTATTGAGTTACTAATTACTTCATCTCTTTAGCACTAAACTGCTAATGGAAGACTCCCCTTTTGAGATACCCCTTGTCTGGCCTTAAATGTTGGCCTACTTCAAGGTTTTAGTATGCTACAATATTACAAGTTTTGCTCAATGAGCTTAGCTGTGTTTTAAAAATTTTGAAACACTCTTGTGGCTTAGATAAAACCTAATTATCATTAGCAATTGTAGTTCAATCCACCATAATATTATAAGGCAAATGCTAAAGAGTGCTTAGGCACTTGTTAAGATGATATTACAGTAATTAATAAAAGACTATATAACCCAAAAAATAACCAGTAATTATACCATAAGAACAAGAAAAGAGATTGTAAAACTAAAAAGTTGATATAATGCGAATGTGATGTAATTGTTTAATAATTTAGAAAAACCAATCATTTAAATTTCTTTATAAAAATTATTTATTTTTTATGTAAATTCATCAAAATTATATATTCCGTTGCGGGAGTCAATTGTTTTTTATTTTTAAAAGTATAAAATTATGTGGTAAATTTATTATTATATTTATTAAAGTTGAAATTCTATTTATATATTTGTTGGAAAAATTCAGTCAATTCCAAAGGAGCCGTGAAAGGCATTGAGGCAACGGTGGTGATTGAGTGGAGAAGAATAGATGAGTAGTCCACGGTTACGCTATCTGAAAGCCAAACCACAACTCTTTCCTTCCCCAACAAAAATGACTGTCTTTGTCTCTTCTCTTCAACACCCATCATCACTCCTCTTCTCTGCTTTTCTCTTACTTTGGGACTTCTCCTTCTTCCTCTTCACCATCCCCACCTCCCCTTTTCTTCTTCACCTTTCGAGACTTTCAAAACTTACAGGATAAAATGACGAGCTTTTTATCAAGTCACAGTTGTAATTGGTCGGTTGGAGTTTCGGAGCACGTCTGCAAGGGCAGGGGAAGATTTTGTAAGGTTCCAAGCTTGGGATGTTGTGGTCCGTACTATTTTCCTTTGGGAGGATTTAGTTTTTCGCAGGGCCAGGGTCAATACCTTGCTAGTACGTCCCAAAGTCGTGGGAGATGTGGGCCCATCTTTTCCAGTGCCGTGGATGATGATGGCGCGGACCCAGATGACGCTGAGGATGGGAATGACAAGAAAGAATCTTCACAAGGCGAGACCGCAGGAGTACGTTCATCTTCTCTTTTTAATAAAATAGAAAATAAAGTTTCCGTTTTGTTTGTTGCAAGATGATGTCTTTGAGCTCAAGGTATTCAATTATTCATATTCGCTGAATAAGCATGTTTGGTTGCTGTTCTAGTCTGCTGTCAATCATTCTATATGCTTGTAAAATATTGAAAGCCATGGAATTTGCCTATGGGATTTTACTTTGTTAATATGCCATTAATCGTAATAGCCAATTACATTACCTTTATAACTTAAAAAGGGTCATTCCTGCTCCTTTTTTTGTTTTGGTACAAAGGTAAGGGTTGAACCTAGGAATTCTAGTGATAACACGCCCCACCCTGCCACTTGATTTAAGCTCAAGTGGGAATCTCCTACTCTTTAACTCCTGTAATTGTTGAATTCTTTACTCATGAAGGTTAAAATGATGGGGTATTATCTTTGAATTTTGGTTTATAAACACTAAAAAGCCATATCCATAGAGATGGCAATGGGGTTGGCTGGGTCAATTATGGGTTTTGATTTTTTTCAGTTGCTTCAGGTTTGTGTCAAGGTCTGGTTCAAGCTGTTGACTTTTGAAGTTTATGTTGATAGGGGCTGGATTTTGGTTATTTACCTTTTCAGTTATTGCCGGTAGGGTCAGGTTGGGTTTAGGCAAATTCTGGCTGCGTTGGGTCAGGTATATGTCCATTTTACTGGAGTGGACTGGCATTTTGATAGAATTTATGGATGAACTAGAAGCTGGTTTTGTCCTATAATTAGTAATTTGGTGGATTCACGTGATCTTCTTTTTATAGATTGTTCTTTGTGGACAAAACTTCATTCCAGGTTTCTCTTTTTACAGACAAGATCCTATTGTGTGCCTAGTGGTTTGTGTTTATTGATGGTCCTGTTTTACAATTGTCTCAGATAAACAGTGAAATGCTTCGAGAAAACCTTGAACGAATAGTTGGTGCAGATGATTCCACGTTTAATGGCTTAGACCTTGCAACTCTTATTAGGAACAAATATGGCAGGTCTTATGATGTTCAATTGATAAAGAAGGTATGCATTTCCAAAGGAGAAGATGGCTTTATTAGCTTGTTTTTACTTCTTCTAAATTATAGTTTCTTGGATTCTTGATGATGCTTTTTGAAATGATAACTTATAATGAGATTTGGGTTTCGCTAAGCAAAAGTTTGGAATGGTCCTTTCATGTGTAGAATGTTGATGAATGTCATTAATGGTGCCCCAACATGTAGCTCAATTGTATAGAATTTCTTTCCATGATGTCCCTTTTTCAGCATTTCATTTGGAATTATCTACGGGTTTTTATCACCTTGTCTGATGTGGTAAAGAGAAAATCTCTATGTCCACCGTTTGCAAAACCATGTGGGCCTTCTAACTATAGGATGCAGACTAACAAGTTTATGACAGCAATAGTAGATAACGCAATGATATTTGATAACGAATATATGCTTTCTCCGTATTGCATAACTTGATTATGGTTTAAGACTTGCTTATTGTGGAAGGCAAGTTAGGTGAACTGCCCTAAATAGGTGTAAATTTAGAGTTCAACACCATATTTGCATATTCTAAAGTTTCATTCAGTACTGTGCCATGGTGGTTGGATTAACAGTTTATTCTGTTGGTACTTTGTGTTGCTTCAGATATTTATTGTGGACTAAGAGTTTACCTTTGCATGCCTTAATTTAGGAGTTCATGGGAAGAAATCTCCTTCACTGAATGTTATGTGGAAGTATATGGAGCAGGTAAGCAGATTGTGAGCTACAGAGTTGTGCCTTTAAAAAGTCGTAATATCACATTACAAGAAATATTACTAAGTTTTAAAACTGGTTGAGCTGATTATGATTTTTTGTATATAAAAACTTCTTGAAATCACTAATTGCAGAGTTTCCTTGAGACCTAAAAACTTTTGCTCATTTAACCAGGCCTTTTTTTTCACTTCTCTCCTCATAAATTGTGATGACTTTGGTGTTCGGTACTTTTACTTGCACTGACATGCCCACCATATATGGCCCCTCTGCCCCTGCCACAACACAACCCACACCACACCCCCACCACCCCCCCCCCAAAAAAAAAAATCTTTATGAAAAAATTATTATTATAGAATTGCTCACTATAATCTTGTAAATGAAACCTTAGTCTCTAGCTACATATTATCAACCAAAATGCCCTTATGGTTCTAGCTTTTCTTTATACATAAACCTTGTGTTCCATTTGATGCATTTATGACAAAATCTCCACTAGCTGTCCAAAGTTCTGCCAAGTCTGATTAATGATAATGTCGAAACTAAATCTGAAACCTTGGTACTGCTTCAAATAACTTAAAGTGACTGTTAAGTTTTTCTTTCTCAAAATATGAAGGAAGCTTACAAAAATTTGATTTCAATGAGGTTATGAATATTGTTATCCTTTTTTTATTATTAACTGACATTTATGTTATTCTATTGTCTAGTTAAACCTATGTCGTTAAATTTTTGGGAAAAATGCCCCAATTTGTTTCCTGGTGTGTATTTGCCATGATATCATGCAATGTTTGAGCAAGAATGGAGAAGCTTTACTGGCATGTTTGGTTGATATTAGCGTGCATTATATGCATGTGCTAAGTTCATCTTTTCTTTTGTGTGAAGAGATCATTTCCCTTGACTGAAGAAGAATATCTTCTAAGGCTTGATGATGTGGCAAACACATTGAAATGTTGGGGAGCGGTCTCGCACATTCGAAACAGCTTAGCAAAACTGAAAGAGCGGCCTCGAATAGGAAAGGTAGAGTCTTTTGCTTAAGTTTTGTCCATCAATTGCTTGACTTACAGCCAAATGGAGAAGTACTCATTACAGGGCTGCATTTGAGGGAAATGTTGCAAGCAAAATAAATGCTGCCATCTAGATTGACAAAAATTGTTGCTCTAAACCTGCTCTGCTAGAAAATATACCGTCCTTGCTTATCTAGTAACATATAGGATAATGGATTAGGGACCATATAAGAAAGGAGATGATGGGATCTTGTGAGTAGTTTAACTGCTTTAGTGTTTTTGCAACCCATATACAGGAATCAATCTATAGAGGAAAGATCAAAACTGGAGTGCAAGATTGAAGCAAATTCTGAAAGATGCTTTTCACATATTTTAAGTGAACCTATTTTTGTGGAGTGCAGCAAAATAGGGGATTGTTTTGCTAATTGGGGATTATATGTTAGTTTCAAACAAGAAATTTAGGTGAAGCTGCCTTGTAAGTAAGAGAGACCTCTAGGGAGCTATTATATACTTAAATAGCCACATCAATGCAACTAGGGGTGGATAAGTGGTATTTAAGAAAATGAAAGGGTAATCAGTTATTGCACTTGCAAGCAATCTAATGAGTGTTTTGTTATACAAGTTTGGGAAGCTATCAAGAATATAATTGAAGATTGCTGAAGATAAGGCAACGTATTTGCTTATGAAGGTTCTGATTTCTTGAATGAAGCCAGCATTGTGCAATGGCCAATAAGAGTATTATTCACTTGCAACCAAAGGAGATTATCGAGTTTATCACTGCCTTGCAAAGGTTATTTGATAAATGTAGGAATGATTACTCCTTTGGCCTCCATAGTATTATAAAATGTCTAATGTGTTACCTGAATTAAAAATATATTCGATGTGGTAGCAAACTTTAGTTCTGTGTATCAAGTTAGTCTAACAGCTAACACTGTTAACCCAATCTGCTTGGCATTGAGCCGATGAGAACACACCGTGTCTATGCCATGCACGAAATATAACATTGTTTTGAATTTTCCATGTGGAGCGCACATGGACACTCTTCAGTGGTGTATAAATATTTTTCAAATC